TTTTTATTTTGTTTTTGAAACAGGGTTTCTCTGTGCAACCTTGGCTGTCCTGGACCTAGCTCTGAAGACCTGGCTGGCCTGTAACTCACATAGCCTGTCTCTGCCCCCAAAGTGCTGGGATTAAAGGCATGCGCCACCGCCGCCACCACTACCATCTAGCCTGTTTTCTTTTCTTTTTATATATTTCTTTTATATACTTATAAACAGATTCTTAGAGACTGGCCTCTAACTTTTAGCAACTCTCCTGCTGCATCATTACACGCTTGCACCACCTATCCAGATGTTTTATGACTTTGGTTTGTTTTCTGAGAGAAGGTCTCACTATGTAGCGCAGGCTGTTTTCTAATGATTCTGCCTCAGCATCCCTAGGCGGAGAAATTCAGGCATGCAGCACCACACTCAATGCAGCTGTTTCCATCCATAATCTAGGGAAGAAACCCTATCCTGGCCAGATGTAGGCTTCCTGCTCTAGCCATGTGATTCTCATCTCCCTGAGGGGAGGGGGATTGGGTAGGGCGGGTCTGGAGAGCTAGGATACATCATTCTGGCCTTTACACCCCTCCCTTCTCTGTCTATTGGGAGGCAGAAGACAGGAAATGACTGCCATGAATGTGTTAGGATTTTCACTAAAACAGGAGTTTGTAGTTCAGGCCCCATACCATCCAGATGTTTTCCTGTCTGATACCAGCCAGGTGCCCTCCCTCCCTCCGATAATTCTCCTCTTCCCATCCCTCCACATGACTGCAGCCTTTGGATTCTCAGTTCCTGGCTGCTTTCCACATTTCATTCCTGTCAGAACCCAGGCATCCTGGCCTTCAGCTGAAAGCGCTGCGTGTGGCTTCCCCTATCCCTGGCCCCGTGACTCAGTCCCTCTGAGGGAACCAGCCCTCTTCTTGGCACTCGGGGGCTAGGTGGTGACATCAGAATTGAGGGGTATAAAAGTCCTCAGCCAAAATAGAATTGAAGACACAACCTGACAGTGGCCTGTGACAGGGACCTCTCCGCCTGGTGTCCACGGATGTCTGGAGGCAGATTCTTACTGTGTCAAGGCCTGCCCACTGGTGAGAGGCTGCTGTGGCTGGGAAGAGGGTGGCCAGGGAGGAGAGCCTGGATTGCCTGGGCAGCATTTTCACAAACACAGGTAGGGACTGGGGACGTCCACGCTCTTTCTCCCTCTCCTGTCTTCTTTTCAGGATTTTTGGGCATCGTACTAAGCGTTGTTTTACATAGGTCAGTTTTCTGGGTGGCAGCCAATTCATTCCACCTTTCTTCCCTGAGCTGAAGAAATCCGTTTCCTCCTCCTCTTTCCCCAGCACTTTGTTATCCGTTAGCTGCTTGCTTCTAGCGCATTGCATGGTGCTGCCCAAACATCTGTCTCTCATGTGTGGGACTGTATTTCGTTATTTTTATCCCAAACCAAGCACAATCAGGCCTAGTGACACACACTATTGATTCTAGTGTTTTGGAGGTGTAGACAGGAGGACCAGGAGCTGCCTCCAAAACAAAAAAACAGAACAAAACAAAAGCAACAAACAAAAAACCGTGTCCAGAAGCCCGTTAACAAATAACTGCGAGTCTCGGTCCCACCTCTTTCCTTTGCCCATCTTGGGCCTATGTTGTGCTTTTCATTCTTGTCCTGGAAGGCACAGCTGAAAGCATTTACCCAATCACTGCTTCCCTTCCAGACTCCATGCTGGGCTCTCTTTCCCTTCTGTGGCTTGTGGCCATGACCACCTCCTTGGTTTCTAAAGCTCAGATCTTGACCCCCCAAGACTATGAGGAAGAGGACGATGAGGCGGTGACCACACCTTCTCTGGCTGTCCCTTGCGACTATGACCGTTGCCGCCACCTGCAGGTGTCCTGCAAGGAGCTGCAGAAGGTTGGGCCGGTAGCCTGCATGTGCCCAGGGCTCTCCAGGGAAGATCAGCAGCCAGACCCTCCGCGGCTGGGAGAAGTGCAAATGGTGGCTGAGGAAGGCTGCGCGGTTGTCCATTGGTGTGCTCCCTTCTCTCCAGTCAATCACTACTGGCTTCTGTTTTGGGAAAGCAACGGGGCTCCACAAAGGAGTGGCCCCCTCAATGCAACAGTTCGAAGAGCGGAGCTGAAGGGACTGAAGTCTGGGGGCATTTACATCCTTTGTGTGGTGGCTGCTAATGACGCTGGTGAGAGCCGCGTTCCTGAAGCAGGTGTTGAGGGTCCTGAGAACTGGGCTGGCTCTTCCTTTGGGCCTTGTCGAAAGCTTATCATGCCGCCTAGACCTGTCACGCTGGTCCATGCAGCTGTGGGAGTGGGCACGGCTCTGGCTCTGCTGAGCTGCGCCGCCCTGGTTTGGCATTTCTGCCTTCGTGAGCGGTGGGGTTGCCCCCGACGGCAAGGGACCGCCCAAGCTTCAGAAGCTCTCTGATAGGAGTCCTACCGACTAGAAGCGAATCTGGTGCATTCCAGCCACATCTGGAGAGCCCAACCCACTCCCAGGAGTACGGGGCCCGCTGCCACCTGGCACCAGCAGCACAGCCAAGTCAGAGCAGAGGCCCCGGCAACTGGCCTCCGACTGAGAGCTTGTTTAGTCCCAAAATAACTGGTCACTATGTTCTCTGGGCTCTAGGAGGCGTAGCAATTATTCCTTGGGGGTCAGATGTAAATGATTTAAGCTTTATGGGCTTGAGGGGGTAAAATTGCAGACATTACATAGGTACTTATACATAGCCAGTTAAAATCGAGCTGTTTAAGGCCCTGCATAGTGGTCTACAATTCTAATCTCCAGCACTGACCCTGTCTCTAAAATAAAGTAAAACGAAAGCAGAAACTAACAAGGGGGGGGGGGGGCGGTGAGGGAGAAAGATGGTTCAGTAGTTAAGAGCACTGGCTACTTTTCCAGAGGACCAAGTTTTATTCCCAGCACTCACATGGCAGCTCACAACCATCTATAACTCCGTTTCCAGGGGATCCACTGTCTACTTCTGACCTCTGCCAGCAGTAGGCACTCACATACATGCATATATATATATATATATATATATATATATATATATATATATATATACTTGCAAGCAAAACACTCATACACATAAAATAAAAATAAATTTAAAAATGTAAGTTGTCCATAGCTCATAGGTCTTCAGTGGCAAGGGGCAGGCCAGGTTCAGCCCATTGGCTGGGGTTTGCCTATTGGCTGGGGTTTGCCCATTGGCTGGGGATTGCCGACACAAGCAATGCATTCTCACAAGTGCTCCCAACGGAGTGTGGCTTCCACGTGGATTCTGAGAATAAGCTTCTGGAGGGTGGGAGTTGAAGTTGGAGCTGTGCCCTTCTCCTACCTACCTTTGTTTTGTTACTAAGGATGAGCCTGCTCAGAGTCCAACTGTGTCTGGGGAAACTGAGGATTAAGGATCACCATGAACTGGAGGAGACAGAAGGCCCAAGCTGCAGTCTACACAAGTTAGTGGGTTGTTTTTTGTTTTTTGTTTTTGTTTTTTATGAGACAGGGTTTCTCTGTGCAGCTTTGGAGCCTGTCCTGGATCTCACTCTGAAGCCCAGGCTGGCCTCAAACTCAGAGATCCACCTGGCTCTGCCTCTTGTGATTAAAGGCGTGCGCCACCACTGCCCGGCTTCAAGTTAGTGTTTTTGTTAGTTATTAAGTTTATACCAATGACTCCCCCCAGGTTTGTGTAATTGTTTATCCACTGTAATAACATTAAAGGCAAATTAAAAGCATTGTATTTTCAGTTTTCACGATCCTCTTTAATTCCATATATATGTATATATGTGTATGTATACATATATGCCTATTTTCATCACTTCTTAGCCTTTTGATCAAGTGTATGACTATTTTTCAAAGTAATATGTATACTTTCAATTTGTGTTTGTTTGAGACAAGGTCTCACTGTGTAGCTCTTGCTGGCCTAGAACTCCCTATATAGACCCAGTGGGCTTGAAACTCACAGAGATCCTCCTGCCTCAGCCTCCTGAGGGGTGAGATTAAAGACGTGCGCCACTACACCTGGCTGTTTGGCTGTTCGAGCCAGACCTTGACTAGTCTGCCGCTTTCCATGGCTTGGAACTGTGGTAATCCTCCTCCCTCAACCTTGAGTAGGCATGCATACCCAGCTTCAAACGTATGCACTATTTCCAATCTTTTAAACTTTTTAAATTTTTGCGTGTGCATGTATGCATGCCATGACAGACATGTGGAGGACAACTTCAGGAGTTGTTTCTGTCCTGTCACACTCCTCCCTGGAATGTGGGTTCCAGGGCTCAGGCGCAGGTTGTGAAGCTTGGCAGCAAGCTCCTTTACCTGATGAATCATCTCGCCAGTCCCTGAATTATTTTTCGTCTCCCCACCCCATTTATTTTTTAAATTATGTGGATGTAGAAAAGTTTGTTACAAAGTGGGCTGGAGAGATGGCTCAGCGATTTAAGAGCTTTGGCTGTTCTTCCAGAGGTCCTGAGTTCAATTCCCAGCACCTACATGCACCCAAGTGGTAGCTCACAACCTTCTGGTGTCCTCTTCTGGCCTGCAGGTATACATGCAGACAGAGTACTATACACAAAATAAATAAATAAATAAATCTTAAAAAAAAATTGCTACACAACATAAACCTAATTTTTACTAATATGATAACTTTTGGAGGTGCTGGAATTGCACCGAGAGACCTGGAAATGGTAGGCATGCATTCTACCCCTGAGCTATCTAGCTATATTCCCAGCAAGGTCATGGACTTAGTCTCCATGTGCACACTGTTCCAGGACAGTAGCTATGCTGAACTGAATTATTCTAGCCTCAGAACAAAGTTGTTATTACCCAAGGTCTCAAAATTGATTTGGGAACCTAAGAAAAAATTAAAAGCACCCCCCCAACCAGATGTGGTGTTATGAACTTTTAATCTCAGCACTCTACAGGCAGAGGCAATAGGATCTCTGTGAGTTCCAGACCAATTTGGGCTGCATAAGGAGTTCCAAGCCAGGCACGGGGCACAGTGAGGCTCTATCACAAGAATGAGTTACTTATTCTTGCTCAGTTTTTTGGTTATTATTTTTTTTTAAGTAATTCTCATTAAAACTATCATTGTTCAATCTGGACGGTGGTGGCTCACAACTTTAATCCCAGCACTTGGGAGGCAGAGGCAGAGGCAGACAGATCTCTGTGAGTTCGAGTCCAGCCTCAACTGCAGAGTGAGTTCCACGACAGCCAGAGCTACACAAAGAAACTCTGTCTCAAAGGAAAAAAAAAAAAAAGGAGAGAGAGAAAATAACTCTATCATCTTTAATTAGAAAGAGTATGCATTCCCAGCTGAGTATGCTGGATTCACAGTTAATTAAGAAAAATTTCACTGTTATGAGTTATATATGGAAGGAAGGCTGGGGCTAATTGATTAAATTACAAAATCCCTCAACAACAGCTTCTGGTGTAGTGTTTAAATATGGCAATCAAATCATTTTTGCTTTTTAAATTATTTGTTCATTTAATATGAATGGATATTTTGCCTGCATGTATGTCTGTGAATCATGTGGGTTCTTAGATCCAGAGGAGGCCAGAAGAAAACATTAAATACCCTAGGACTACAGTTACAGGTAGTCAGGAGCTGCCGTGGGGGTGCTGGGAATTGAACCCTGGTCCTCTGGAACAGCAGCCAGTGTCCTTAACTACTGAGCCATTTTTCCAACCTTTCTTGTCTGTTTTGTTTTTCTCCAGACAGAGTTTTTCTGTGTAGCCCTGGCTGTCCTGGAACTAGTTCTGTAGACCAGGCTGGCCTTGAACTCACAGAGATCCTCCTGCCTCTGCCTCCCAAGTGCTGGGATTAAAGTTGTGTGCCACCACCACCCAGCTTCTCCAGCCCTTCTTATCTTAATGCTTATCTGGGTGAAAACAATTATTTTATGTATTTTGAAGCCTCAAATTCCCTTAGTCAGCAAGTGTGCTATGTTCCACATGAGCACACGCTCTCTCTTAGAGGGTGCCTGCTAACATTCAGGCATCTGTACTGGCCACCCTTAGGGTCCTGACAGGATACATCCTCAGCTGCAGCCACTAAGAGCGCCCCCTGTGCACATTTGCTAAGTTTCCCTATAAAAGCAGGCCTTGGCCACCTCCCATCTCTTTCTCTTTCTCTTCTTTTGCTCTCGTCCGAGGGACCGATCTCTGCCCCCCTCTCTGTCCCCCTCTCTGCCCCCCTCTCTGCCCCTTCTCTCCCTCCCCTCAGTAAACCTCCCATGTGAGCCCTGTAGTATGGTGTGACTCCTTCCTCCCACTGTTTTTAAAATAAAGCAGAGCCCCCTTACTCCGTAGTTGTACAACTATACGTGGTCATGTAAGGGTCACGCTGGATTTGACCGGCATATGGTATTTTCCTAGTTTTGAGAAATTCTGTTTCTTTTAAAAGAGCATAATTTATTTATTTTTTTTAAACGATGTTATTTATTTATTATGTATACAGCATGTATGACTGCCTGCCAGAAGAGGGCACCAGATCTCAATACAGATGGCTATGAGCCACCATGTGGTTGCTGGGAATTGAACTCAGGACCTCTGGAAAAACAGTGCTTAAAAGAGCATAATTTATGATTGATTTGTATTATTATTAGTTTATTTTATTTTTGGTTATTTGAAATAGGGTCTCTCTACATAGCCCTGTCTGTCCTGGAACATGAGGCTGGCCTCAAACTCAGAGATTTGCCTGCCTCTGCCTCTCAAATGCTGAGATTAAAGTCCTGTGCCACCATGCCTGGCCCAATGTAAGTGATTTTTAAATAATATAAAGTTTAATATATAGATGACCAAAACCCTTTTAACGAACAATGTTTTGTAGTTTGGAGAGTTACTTTGTGATATTCTCAGTAAATGTAATAAAGGTTTCAGCAAATTCTGAAAATAAATAAAAAAAATAAAATGGGGCTGGAGAAATGGCTCAGCAGCCAAGAGATCTTGTTCTTGGGGAGGACAAGAGTTCAGTTCTCAGCACCAACAGGGCAGTTAGGCGCCTTCTGTAACTCCAGGTCCAGGGGCTCCATCACCCTCTTCAGGCACACAGCGAAGCCCAACACCCAGCCAGTGAAACAAACAGAAATCTAAGCTGGGTGTGGTGGTATCCGCCTTCAATCTCAGCGCCCAGGAGGCAGAGGTGGGGAGATTTCTGTGGGTTCATGAGTTCAAGTCCCGTCTGATCAACAAAATGAGACCCAGGACAGCCAGGGCTATGTAGAGAAACCCTGTCTCAAAAAGGACAACAGCAACAACAAAACCATACACATAAAATATAAAAATAAATCAGGCCTGGCAGTGGTGGCCCGTGCTTTAATCCCAGCACTTGGAAGCCAGAGGCAGGCAGATCTCTGTGAGTTCAAGGCCAGTCTGGTCTACATAGTGAATTCCAGGACAGGCAAGGCTACACAAAGAAACTCTTTCTAGAACCCCCTCCCACCTACTGTAAAAATAAATGAATAAAGTCTGCAGAGATGGCGCACTTGCTAAATGTTGTAGAATATTCCTTTACAGTGTGTGAAGATGTATCAATGATTGGTTTAATAAAAAGCTAAATGGCCAATAGCTAGGCAGGAAGTATAGAAGGAACTCTGTACAGAGAGAGCTCTCAGAAGAAGAAAGGCAGAGATGCCAGTGGACGTACAGGGAACAGACATGGAGGAGGGGAGGTAGCAGCACATAATTAATAGAAATGGGTTAATTTAAGCTATAAGAGCTAGTTAGAAACAAGCCCAAGCTAAGGTTGAACTTTTATGATTAACAATAAGTATCTGTTGTCTTTTTTTGTGAGCTGGAGGCCCAAAGGAAAGTCCATCTTTAGCTAAAGGCTAGGCTCACACCAAAAAGACCAGAGTCCGGTTCCCAAGTCCTCACAGCTATCTCTTCAGCTACCTTGAAAAATAAAAATAGGGGCTGGAGCAATGGCTCCATAGTTAAGAGCATGGATTAGATTCCTAACAACCTCATGTTCGCTCACAGCCATCTGTAACTCCAGTTCTAGGGATAGCAGGCCCTCTTCTTGCCCCCACAGGAACCAGGCACGAAGTGGTACACAGATGGACATGCAGGCCAAACACCTAGATACATAAAATCAAAACAAATAAGTCTAAACATTAAATAAATAACAAAACAAACACATCTTAAAAAAATATTAGAAACTACAATGCTGAACCCTCGCCCGCTCCCCTGGAAAAAAAAAAAAAAAAAAAAAAGAGGAGAGAGAGACCCACAGAGGTTTCCTAATGAGAACTTACTAAGGGTCCGAGAACCTGAGCTTACTTTACTCAGCAGGGCTGCATAAGGGGATGATTTGACCACGGGTATGGTTATCAGGGGTTTGGAAGGGGCTACACTTGGCTCTACGATGTGCTTTGATCTAGCAAGGGGGAAGTCTTTTGCCTTGACATTGTTATAAAAAAGAAAAGGCCATTGGGTATTGACCCAGGTTCTCCTGAAGCTATCCTGTGTTTCTCCTCTTTGTTATCTTTTTAATATATTCTTACCCTCTCTCCTCCTCATAAGAACCCTTGGAAAGGTGGGAGCTGGCCTCCCACAGGAAAGAAAGAAAAAAAATAATAAGTCGGGAAGTGTTGGTGCACGCCCTTAATCTCAGCACTCAGGAGGTAGAGGCAGGTGGATCTCTGAGTTTGGGTTCAGCCTGATCTACAGAGCTAGTTCCAGGACAGCCAGGACTGTTACATAGAGACAGCCTGTCTTGAAAAAAAGACATAAAACAATGCTGAGCATGTT